TTCACAAGTTACCTATCCTTGAGCGTCTTTCGAGGTTTTGAAAGATAACATGATTTTTCGTCCTAGACAAGTGTTTCTTTTTTGCCTTTTGGCAATAACTTCTGGATCTGACGGGAAGACCCAAAACTCCAGTCCCAAACCAGTCGATAAGCTGAACCCTCAAGCAGGACAAAACTTTGTTGTAAACAACAATTGTGGCCTGGCTAAAAGCGAGCGTGAAATGATGGCGCACATCAAAGCAAAAGTTGATTACATTGCGGCTCAATCAAGCAAAGGTAATGAATTGCTTTATGTGATTAGCTTTTTTCCATTTTCTCCTCAACAACTGTCGTTGTAGACGGGGTAAAAATTCAGTACTCAACGTTTTGTCGATTCTTGACTCGGCTCGTGAAATGTTTACATTTCAGTACCGCCATGTCCTACCGGATGGGTTCTTTATGGAAGGTCCTGTTACCTCGTCATAGATGTGCCAACGCTAGAGTGGGATGGCGCACGAATAAACTGCCTGAAGCTGGGAGGAGACTTGGTTAAAATCACCACAGCTGCCGAAAATCAGTTTATCCTTAATCTTATTCTCAAACAGCCAAAAGTCACGCACTATGGCGCCTGGCTTGGTCTCCGCCGCAAAGCAGACACAAAGTTCTACTGGACAGACGACACTCTGCTAAGTGGCTATAGTGCATGGAACACTGGTGAACCGAACAATCCATCAAGCGAAAAATGTGGCCACGTGATCGCTGGAGGTTCCGCAAAAGGAAAGTGGAATGACATTCCATGTAAAGTGAATAAGTCAGCCATAACTAGTGCTCCAGTGATTCTCTGCCAAAGAAAATCTAACTAGGTTTTCAGGCTTTTCACTTCAACAAGTTTCCAGTATTGTAGACCATTTACTGTGCTAGTCAAGAGAATTACAAACTAAGCAAAAAGTAAGAGGGTAATTCTTGTACTTCACTTATAAAAGGTTGACAAAAATAAAAATGCGATAAAACGCGCCCTATGTGCTAACTTTTTTTAAATTCATTTCAAAATGAAGGATGACAAGAGAATTTAGAGTGATAACTGAATGAAGATCCTCACCGCATCTGACTCAATTCCTGAAAGCTTCGTTGTTCAGCAGTCAGCAGTGGTTATCAAAGTGGACCACCAGCTGTACTTTTCTGGAGATCATGAAGCGTATCCTTCTGAGTAAGCATTCTACAGTTATTTCTTTCGGTCTTATCAAAAAAAGGGTCGTATCTATAGCCACCAGAGCAACTTCCAGATTACTGGCAACTTAAAAAAAATTTCATTTTGTCGCTTGTGAGACACACTTTTTGAAGATACTTTGCGAAGCAGTGAAACTTATAAGCTACGATCAGGTTTTGCCAGAGAAGGGTAGCAAGTTATCCTACCCACAGACAATTTTTTGTATGTTTCCGTGACTCCATCTAAAGACTGACAACTTAAACACCTTTAACCATTGATATTGATTTGTAAAAGAACCTCTCTAAGACGTTATTTGTTCAATTTACTTGCTATCAATCAGTCGCCCAGTCGTTCAGTTGTTTGAGCAAGCATACTTGAACAAACTTCAGTTCAATTATGCAAATTCAAAATATGTGTACATGTGTCAACTAACCAGGTGGAAAGCAAGCAACACAAGTGAAACGCAAAATGTGAAAATTCGGTTTGATTTCTTGCTCCATTACTAGAGTAAGCAATTTTAATTGCACTCTAATTAGTGAACATTCATAAGAAATCATTGAGGAAAAAAATAAGATTCTTTACCCAAACACTGACTGAAAAATGCGAACGAAAATAACTGTAGAAAAAGCTTTGTTCATAACGGGTTTGCATTGAAAGAGTATTTTGAATTACTCTAACTTTCAAGCTCATAGAACAAAAGAAACTAAACATACACGAAAAGACGTTGAAAAGTTTGAAGGGCCACATTTTTAAATTTACCTTACAGACTTACTTACAGCCAGAGGCACAGAAAAGAGCAGTTAAAACTCGCCCTCGTGCCTTAATAGTGTTTAAATATGACTCTTCCTTTAAAAGAAACTGAATATAATGTCTATAGTGTGCGTGCATTTTCAGATTATATTTTTAAAAAGTAGCTATTTTTGTGGACACAACAGGGGTATGTAAATAACGTCAGTCCCTGGATGGGGGTACTCCCTATAAGGATTTACGGGGAGGCTCCGCTCGAAATGGGGACCCTTTTAGGATTCAGGCACATGAAAAGGCAGGAATGTTACTAGTTCTGAAGAATATGAAAGGAAAAAACATTCTGTCATTCCGGTTTGTAAAAAGGCCCGAAGGGCTATCAGAAACTTTTTATGGCTGTGAAAATGTCGCGAAATCGTTCTGGTTTTATTATTTATTCACATTTCAAAGAAAGTGAATTTACAGAAGTTAAAGGAATGGAAAGTTCTAATCTTGGAATGTGAAAGGTGCCATGTTTCATTAGATGGTATACTGTGGTACACGAAATACCTTCTCGTTCAAAAATACTGTTAACAAGGGTAAAGGAGTTGGACCTCGGGGCGCGGAGCCTCCCCGTATAAAATTCTGTTGAGTTCCTACCAGCCCCCAACCAAATATGCCGCAGAATGTGGGATCTAAAGAAGACCTGATTACCAAACATATACCAAACAGGACGAAACATTCAACCATCCATCGACAACAACAACAACAGGTCAGATTGTTGTTACACGTTATCTCGCAAATAATTTTAAGTAATGGTGTCCAGCAGCAAAAGGTCATATTCACCAAAACAATAGACTGTCCTTCTGAAACAATACTCAATGCCAAGCTTCAGGGTCGTCTTAGTTTGGCAATTGCAGAGGAGGGGGGGGGCACTCAAGGCAAACTTGGGTGGAGGTGTGTCGTCGACGCCTTCAAATCCTGACCCTTTTTAAGACAAAAAGTCGTTCGTTTCTTTATCCTGATTAAGATACGATACCTTATTTCAAGATCCTGAATTCTTTTAACACTCATGCGAGTAAGTTTTTGAAATTAACTGCTGGAATTAAACTGTTTTTCCGCCACAGGGAATTCGGATTCCGGCCCGAATCCGAGAAAATTTTGCTTGTGGAATCCGGAATCCCAATAAATATTGGAATCCGGAATCCAAGTTCACGTGACAAAGACTGGCATCCAGTACGCGTGTACCAGCAATCCGAAAATCTACGGCGTGAAATCAAGAATCTAAGACTGTCTTCGATTCCCTTACACCATACACGGGGCGCGTTTTCTGGAAAAAAAACTGAGATCGTTGTTACCACACATGGAGATCGCTCATCGTTCGAACCGCCACACTCCTTTAATTGACTCCGGTCTTTCCGGTCCAAAAAGACACCAGGCGAAGAGGCTAAATAGTGAAAGTGTATACCTTGTTTACGACTCACGACGCTGAAAACTGATACCCTGCTCAGCAGCACATGCACATACCCGCGGTTAGGCCAAATAAAAGAGTACTCCCTCCGGGAGATTTACCAGCAAATCGAATCATTTTTGAGTGACGAATGAGCGATTTGACCAATGACTTTACTTAACCACTAGTTAAAAAAGCCTAGGAAAGCAGTAAATTAAGCTCGACGTTTTTAATCCCCATTAACCCCTTTAATCCAGTCGTCATTTAATCAGTTCACTAGTCTTACCTAAGAGACCCATTGCCCGGGACCCATTGGCGTTGTTGACTGAAACGTACAGCAAGGAGGTCGGTACATTGTAACACACAAAAATAAATGGGGTCTAGAGAAGAAAAATAAATGCTAAGTAAACACTTTTCGAAAACGTATTTGAAATACAATGAGGCACCATGATTTTAAGACTAGACAACCATGACAAAAATCGTCTCCGAAATATTTTAAACCATCCGATAGAACTATGGCCAATTGCCGTCTAATGGGTGATAATTGATTTCTACTTGTTTTATATTCTTTGCTTCTCAGTTTAGATTTCTTTTAAAATAAATACCAATATTCTTGGGGGCAATTAGAGAGATAAACCAAGCCATAAGAATAATGGAGAGAGTGTTAAGACAGTTAATCCCAAGCAAAAAAGAAAAACTTGATTAATTAGTTCTAGTGAGTATTGTAATACTGAAGAACCATTCAAAAGCTTTTTTAACAGGGCGGTGTTTATGACCCAATAAAAGATGGTTTGTATTTTGTATCTATCCTGGCCCCGGTTGTTCAAACGTTGGATAGCGCTATCCACCGGATAAATCACTATCCAGCAGATAGCGTAATTGATTTCCGTAATACTTATACGCTGGATAGTGATTTATCCGGTGGATAGCGCTATCCAACGTTTGAACAACCGGCGCCTGGTGGACATGTTAGGCCAGCGGAAGGTCGAAGCATTTAACACTATAAAGAGTGCGACATTGTAAAGTAAACCGTGGAATTTTTAACTATGAGGCTCTATATCTTTCAATGTCCATACATTACTGCCATTGATGGAGGTTTTCTTTTGTTTTTCAAAGGAATATACTTACAACAATAGACGGCACCTTAAGTGATTACTGCAGCATTAGTGGCCGAGTATTTGAGGGGGGAGGGGGTGACTTGGGTCAAACAAGTATATTTTTTTTTGTTTTCAAACCTACAATTGTGATCAATTTTTTTTTCTTAATTATTTGGCGTCAATGTACGACCATTACAGTAACTCTTACCAATTTTTTTATGCAATAATGTATTCATTCCACGCCTCTTGGAAGGATTCTCACCTTCTGAAATCAACCACCCCTATCCCCACCCTGATAAAAGGAAAATGCACCCCCTTAACAAATGTCTTAGTCCGACATATGGCATAGGTTGTTTACTTTACTAATAAATCGCGCCAGCGTTAATTGGTGTAAGCACTCAAAGTTACATTGAGTACTTTCCAATGAAAAACTACTATGAGAATAGGCGACAGAAGGCGATGTTAAGATGAACAGGAACAATTTTCCATCTTTAAGTGAGGAGTTTGTACGTATGCTCTCGAGAAATGACAAACACAATGAAGGCGAGGAATCTTTTCAAACAAAGAAAGAATTGTACTCTATTTATTTTCAAGAGGCCAAGTTGAGAAGAGAGCTTGACTTTCCAATCGACGAAGACAAACCAAGTCCTTTTCGAACTTACCAAAGACTAGATCATGAACGTGCAGAAAGAAGAAAGTTCTTTTCGTTCAATGGCCCAACATTGAGAAGCAGGTCGCTTCCAAGCATCTGTGACCCTGGTCTTACCACAAATCGACAACAATTGCTCCCAGCGACCAACAGAGAAATATCCCAAACACGAGTAGCTTCAAAGTGGCAAGAATTAACCCAGAGTTTACAAAGTATCAAAGAGGGAAACGTCGTTGACCAACTTTCGAGAAAGACACCTTCTGGCGATGATTCCAAAATCGACGCCAGCCGTCCTGTAACAAGACGAAAGAGCCGGTCGGACGCAAAGAGGAAGGCGCCGCAAAAATGGAACGTAACTATACATAGACGAGTACCGATAATAATTTAGAACAGGAATGTTGTAGACAAGGCCGAGGTTGTCTTACCACAGTCTATTAATTAAGTAATCGAGCTACAAAATTTAATTAATGGTTGTCTCGAGCTTAATTATATGATATGGATCGAGACGATTCACAAAGTATTTAAAAAGTAACTTAACTACCACTGCTAAGGAAGACCAAGGCAATTCAAAAGCGACGTTTTCTGTATGTATAAATGTTTTTTAGTCTGGCTGCAAAAAAAGTGGATGAAAAGAAGGAAAAGTGGAATAATAACCTTTGCAGATAACGCTTAAAACGCCAATCTCAAAAGAGGCATTAAAGGAGACCTATGCTTTCAAAAAAGCCTTGAAATTTTATAGCCAGGAAAAACTATACATGAGCTTTAACTTAATAAGCTAACATTACTGAAAGGGCATCAAGGAAAGCACCAAAAATTAACGAGGGTTCCTTATGTCTCTTGTTCAAGTATTCAAAGTTTTGTCTGTTTGATAAAACCAACAGGAGCGAGTCTTAATTATCAATCCAAATGTAAAGGCTTCTCCGTCGGTACAGTAACACTTTCTGTGCGCCGAGCGTATGCACCACAAAGACACAGAGGTTTTAGCTTGTGGACGACGAAATCATAGCTTAAGTTAAACTAAATGAAAGCTACTGTACCTCACGTGTTAAGGCGCTGGTTATTGAATAAATAATGTTTTAACATTTTCGACTGTTAAAATAGTCGAAACATAATTCACAAGCCTGAAGAGTTTATCGTTTTTTAACCGACAAAGATCTCTAGGTTTTAAAAAAAAAATCTCTCCGCTGCATGAAGCACCTAGGGGAATTGCTAGTAAGTACAGCCTGGATTAAGTTTCTCTGGATCCTGGATTTGCCTTATTTGAAGATTAACTGTTTCGAGATCCAGCCTTGAAAATATGCACCGAATTCGAGATGAGTTTGTTGACATTTTTTCCTTTGCTTTACCACACAGCGTTCATAGCATAACAGATTAGTAGAGCTGTAGCAAATGTTTAAAAATTATGGAAAAGGGACAATTCTAAGAATTCAATTGACTGGAATTTTGAATTTGGTGTGAATAATGAATCGAAGAAGATGAGATGCTCCACCATCACACAGTGCCCCTGAAACCGTCAGCGAACTAACTGGTTTAATCGTATACCAGAAAGCCCTTTAAAGCAACAAACCTTGCTTCCAAATGCCCATGGAATTAAGTCACCTGCGGAGCAGGGAGTATGGCGCCCTACCAACTCGCTGCTCGCGGCTTCGCTGTACAAATACTCACATACCCCACTCGCTTACAGATTTTCGAGCAAAAGACTGAGGGACTGCTCGCAGTCCATAGGGGGTTGAAAACGCTCAAAATCACTGACCGCATTAATTCAAAACTTACCTCGCCTATGAAGGTTATACTTTGAGGTAATAAAAAAAATTTTAATTAAACGAAATTGTCAAGCAAAATGTACCGGCAACCTAAATTTGTATTAGTCACACAGCCGGAAAAAAGTATTGAATGCGGGCGGGCAAACCACGCGCATCAAGCAAGCTTGCAAACAGTTGAAGGCTCCCCCTAAAAGATGTTTGGATAGCGCTCCCGAGGGATTGTCTGCTAGCACACCGAGGGTACTCCCCTAGGGTCTACCATCTCCCAAGGGCTTATATAATTATGAGCATTATACAAAACAGCTCATTCTGGATCAGTCTTTTTAAGACCGTTTAACCAGGTCCTTTGTTATTCAAATTGCTGACTGTGATAAACAAACCTATTTGTACTGTACAATTGTGAGCAGACAACTAATCCAACTAAAATTCGTACATTGAAGAACGCCCAAAGTTGTACGTCAACCTCAAGTCAAGCTCGTTGCAAATTCTATGTTAAAGTCACGACAGTTGGACAACATAAATGCACAGAGTAATAAAAGCGAAAGTGAAGTCTCTTATAATTTCATACTTTCAGTCACACAGTAAATGTTTTTCATTGTAAATAACGTGTTACAGTGTAAAGAAGGCCTAAAGGAATCGCTAAATGTGTTCCCAATGGCGAGGTTTCGTTGAATCATATATTTCTCGTTGAATCATATATTTTTCTGTTGCTGGGGTTAAGAAAATCTTTCGTTATATCGAGGTTCTACATACTGTGTTCACGTGAATAACAAGAGTTCAGACAATTATTAGCACGTGGATTGCACAAACTCATGGTTGTAGGACGGTATTTTCCTTCTACTTAAACAGTCCCCAAGGAGTCTAGGCAATATTGTAAATAACCCATTCAGGATCATTTTGCTTTGAACTGCTTCCTTTCTCATTCAAGGTACAGATCGTGACAAACAAACTTTTTTGTACTGTACAATTATGAACAAACAACTAATCTAACTATAATGAGAACATTCGAGAAACAACACCAATTGTAATGTAGATAACTATACATCTCAACGTGGGCTGTGGTATCGCATAAAATTTTAGAACAATCCTGAACTGTGTTTACAGATCAGTCAATCGCACTAGGCCTTCCTATGTACATGTACTTACTGATTAAAGTTAAACCTAGTTAAAACGGACACTTAGGGGGACATAGAAAGTGTTCGTATTAACGGGGGGTCTGTATTAAGAGGGTTGAATAAAGAGAAAATATAAGGGCTTTCTTTCCCCAGAGACATAGCAAACTGTCCCTGATAATGAGGTTTTCTTATTAAGCGGGTGTCCGTAGAGCGGGGCTTGACTGTAGAGAAAAAAGGCCTTGTAAGTTGCCGCATGTCCAACTTTTAATATCAAAATCCCAGGTATTTACAGCACCAATAGAACCATGCAACTATTTGACGTCACATGGTATTTTCCAAGATTATTTTTGTGCGTAAACCCAACAAACTGACAACTATGAAGGATATTGGGATTTACTAATGAAAGGCGAGTGACCTGCTCAAAAACTTTATTACTTGAATTGCTTCACATAAGATAAGCTCCTTTGTACGTTTCTCCGTTGCCAATCAGAAAAACGAAAAATAGCAGAACTCGTTGTGGATTTCGAAAATAACGCGACGCTATAGAAAAGAGCTCCAACGCGCAAAGTTGTAAAACAGTACAGTAGAAACTTGATGCAAGGAAACTCAGTTTAACGAACTTCTCGGTATAACGAACCATATTTTTTCGCTCGGGGTAATTTGAAAAGAACTCGATATAACCAAGCCTTGTTATAACGAACATTTTTTCCACTCCCTTAGCCCTTCGTGATATATCAAGGTTTCTCTGCGAAACGATTACCTGGCAGTAAAACAGGAAACACGTGAATTAACGCGTGATTTTTTTTTAATTGATGATATTTCCCTAGAGGTGTATAAGCTACTAAAAACAACCTTAAGACCACCGGCTTTTCGAATTCAAATTTATGATCACAATAAACAAACTGTTTGAACAACACAGTGAAGTATCGAAGATTCTGTTCTGGCCAGACTTAAAACTTGCACAATAGGAAAGCAAACATTGATTCCAGCAAGTCTGTGATGCTTCAAAAATGAAAATTTTAAACAGCTAATAGTCCTGAGATAATTATTTAGCTCGCAGAAAAGCCTTTCAAAATGTAGCCAATGAACAAGGGGCTTCATTGTTTCAAATTCCTAAACCTTTGTTTGAATAGTCTGATAAGAGAACTAAAGACGAAAATGACATGTTTAGTCACCGGTGTTCTGGCCTTTGATAACACTTCAGGCACACATAGGAAAATTTCACAGACGTCTTACCAGCCTCAGGGATTCATTGAATAGCTTCCACTTTGGGGCCACACCAGCTCGTCGCAACAGGATTACAGAACCAAGTAAAAATGACCAGAATTGGAAAACATGCACGACCTACAGTAGCTGATCAAGTGGATCATATACCAAAAAAGATGGCACGAATTCTTTGTAACACCGTTACTCAAGCAACCCATGAATGGCAAGGTGAAAATATAGCAAAATATGGCGTAGAAAACCAACAGAACCATAATATTTCGAGCAATGATATACTTTTGAACGTTACGAAGCCCGAGGAAAGATCGACATGGCGTGTTGGCCTTCACAAGCGAGAGTTTAATAACCTCTGATGGACACGACTTTCTGCAGTGGACAAATAATTGATAACCACGAATTATACCTGGAACTGCTGTAAATATTGTACATGAATGAGAAGTCCTGAACGGAACAAGAGCTTCTTGTCAAAGGACCATTTTGTACAGTTTCACAATGGGGTGTTAAAAGTATAACTATTTCGTGTTTGAGACTGGTATCCAGCAAATTTTTTCGTATGCATTACATTGGTGATAAAAAGATTTCAAGAAAAGATAGAATAATGTCATTTTGCCTGTTAAGGTATAACTAGTGCCTATGTATCCTAAACTATAGAGAGCTATAAACTAGGTTTCCAGGCTACTAGTTGATACTAGGCAGCTTTATTAAGCACTGGAAAGCAGAAAAACGTAACTATTACGTCACCTCGTTTAATTTGTCAAATTTTGGCAATTTTTTTCTGGAAATGAAATTCTAAAGGACTGCATCCAAATTCAGAAAAAGGGAAGAAACCTTTGTCTTGCGTTCAGGTCCTCCATTAAATGTGAAATGGGGAAATTTCAGACGGTGGTTATGCAATGACGTAAAGGATTTGTACCGAAAGGTATGATGCTTTTTTTAAGAAATTATTGTCGTTGCCGTCGAAGTTGCTTAAAACTCCCTACTTAATGGAGCCCGCAACAGGTGGGGGCCGCGGGAGCCGGGGCTGGCGATCTTGCGCTGTACATTTAAAGGGTGCATATTACAGGTTTCTGCAAAGGCTTTGACTTCTTAGACTATAACGTATAAAACACCAATTTCAGGCCTTTTTATGACACTAAAAGCAATATACTGCCCCATTGAACAGAATCATAGAACAGGGGATGAAATCTTTGAATTTTTGAATTAGCCAGAGGGTGCATTTGCAGTAGACTTGCAATCTATTATGACACTGGAATATACAACATAGATTTGAAAGGATAAATTTGATG